CGTGGTCGGATCGTAGGTTTGTGGGAAGGAGGTATGAGTGTGAATGACATTGCTGATCGTATTGAATGTAATGAGAGAATGGTGAGAAAATTAATTAATCGGTGGCAGGAAGAAGGTCGCGATCTTATAGACAGACGTAAAAACAACCGTGGACGGCGATCTACATCTGTTGAAGAAAATATATCTTTAGTCAGACAGGTAGATGAAAATCCTTTTCTTCCGGTCTCGCACTCTGTAAAGAATTTAAATTTACAGATAAGTAGTAGAACAGCGCAAAGGCGTTTGCACGAAGCGAATGTGCACTGTTATCATCCTGCACGTAAAATTCCTTTAACGAATCGACATCGCGATAATCGTGTCGCTTTTGCGCTGCATCAATTAAACACCGCGTCACCGGAAGATTGGGCTCGAACTATCTGGGTTGACGAGAAAGTATTTTGTTCGGCAGATGATCGACGTCTGTTTGTCTGGAGACCTGAAGATCATCGATTACATGAAAAATATGTGCTTTCTTATGGAAAGAGTGGGCGCATTACTTGTGCTATGTGGGGGTGGATTAGCTGTCATTGTCCGGGAGAACTAGTCGAAGTGTCATCGCATATGGACGCCATCGAATATATAGATATTCTGGAGAACATTTTGCTGCCAAGTGTTCGCAGAATCTATAGTGAAGACGATATGCCGACATTTCGACTAGTTCAGGATAATAGTCCAGTGCACACCGCCGGCATAGTACAGGAATGGTTTGCTCAACATCCAGAAATTGAAGTCCTTAATTGGCCAGCGAAATCTCCGGATCTCAATTTAATTGAAAATATTTGGGCAGCAATCGTAAATTCGTGGGATCCTGGCCATGAAAGAACTAAAGCACAATTAATTATGCATGCAAAGAATGCGTGGGAAAATCTCAGGCAGAAGCCTGAACTTTTCACAAACCTACGTGAATCCATTGAGAAAAGGCTAAATCAAGTTGTTGAGCGAAATGGATGGTGGACTGATTATTAAACAGTTCTTTTTAGAGCTAAGTAAACGGTTCTTTTCAGAGCCACCATTTATTTAACGTTGGAACATTCGTGCGGAAATTTCATTTAAACATTTTTAAAAAACATTGTATTTTAATGTATCATTCATTCCTTTCCTGCCTCCTTATATTAATGATTTATTCTCGTATAATTAAACCGCGCGTGTGTATTACCAACTCTGTCCATTATCGACCCAGAATATTATTTTGTAGCGATCGGTAATTAGATCGATAAATCAGGACTAGTTGGCCGCTGCCGCCTGATGGCGCTATGATATATGTCTACGTTCCCCTTGCCCCGCGAGAGGGGCCACGGAACGAATCGTTGTCGCCCAGTGTACATACAGTACAATACAATCCTAATGATCTCAGTGGGAGAAACGAAAGCACTGGGAGTTGTCAATACTGCCAACTTTATCTTTTTCCCCAACACCAACCAAACATATTTTCGAACGCACTACAACAGCACACTTTCATTTCACTAATCACTTTTCTCGCTGTATTTTAAAATACTATAACATTCACTCGGGACTCAGGACTTCTTTCTGGCATCATCGATCTCAGCTTGCCCGCCAAAACTTTAGCGCCCATAATCCGCTACACCGTTGCTTTCCTGTGATTACTACTGCGCATGCGCGAAAAAGTCGCCCGGTCTACCATTGTCACGTCTCAGTGACTTACTTTTTCCCTAGATACCTCGGTTCTAGAGTAACGTGCGCTCTCTTTATTTTCAAGGCAACCTGCTTACACCGGCTATACCTTGGGGGAGCTCTTGCCGAGAGCGAGGATCTGACTTATCGATAACGGAAAAAATTGTAGAAGCCGCGAAACTTTAAGATGAGATTATATACATGTATACTAAATATTTATTAGAATGGAATTTCAAAATTCTCTATCAAATACATTAATTGATCGATATCAATATCACCCGAGATATAGTGAGCTATGAACTCTAATAAGATTTCGAGGATTTGAGTTTGTTCATCGGTTGTTAGCGCGAAAAAATCTTTATCATTACAAGAAGGCTTCATTGGAGAGTCTGTAGGAAATTCTCTATTTCATAGTGGTTTTCTGGTAATTGATATTTTAATTGATTTATTAGATCTCCTTGTTCAGAGGATGGGCCTTCAGTGATATCCTTATATTTGATGATCTCTAGGTAATAGTTGTAGAAAGAGTCAAACTCTATGTTTGTAGTAATAGATTGATAGAATTTTTGTGATATAAATTTTAGAGGTAAATAAAAGAGAAATTTAGCTTTGGTTTTTAGAACTGATATAAAACTTTCAGGGAAGAAGACCCTTCTAACGGATTTTACGTAACTAGGATTTGAGTTTGCCTTTATTCTTTGATATCGACGGAATCGAAAGATGTCACGATATTCTCTGGTTATTTTTCCCGCTCTATGTCTTTTCTTTTTAGAATTTAGTTGTGAGTTCACCATTGATTGAGGAAATTAGTGGATATTCTCTTTTGTTGATGTTACTATCTGATTAGCGTCAGCTCAAGTGATCGAATTTTACAATAACGAAAAAGATATATTTCTTTTTATTTAGTTCAGCTAAAACGTCAGTAATTTACAAGGATATGGATGTCTCCGGCATGACGGAGGATGCCTGGGGACGACGGGACTCTTAAGGTGGAGTAACGTTAGGATGACAGAGTTTGTATAAGGAAATTAGGATGCATCCGGCATGACAGAGGATGCCCGGAAGCGACAGGAAAAGGGAGAGAGAACAAGAAGGTTTTCAGGCGGCACCGAGAAGATGCTGTTTCCCTGTATTCCTTTTCCAGAGGAAAGACGTTTGAGTTGAATGCAGTAGATTATATAATTTCAAATTTCGTTTTTATATTCCGTTTTTATATTCCGTGAAACGCCGATTAACGAATTAATTTAGGAAATTAGGATGCCTCCTGCATAACAGTGGATGCCCAGAGACGATGGAAATTTAGGGTCGGCTAAACTAATAATGAATCCTTTTGGAGTAAAAACAGGAGAATGCAGAAGTCTCCGGCATGACAGAGGATGCCTGGAGAGATCTTAAAGGAAGGATGTACTCGACGTTTAACGGATGAGAGCTATATAATTTTAATTAATGATTATCTTGACGCTTGCCAGAATAAAATGATAAGGTATTGCGATTTTATACTGATTAGGAAAGGAATACTATCAGCAGCATGCCGGTGCTTGACAGTATTATTATTTATTCATTTAATCTTCTATTTCTTGTTTCAGGAGGTATAATAAATGCAAGGAAGGTGAACGAACAATTGAATTTGAAAACGAGAGATTAAAATAAAGAATATAAAAGAATCTGGTACTTACCACCCCGAGATAAAATTCTGTTGATTGTAGTCGCCTTCGTATATGGGAGGTCTGGGTCTTTCCAAAAAAATGGACACGGTAGATATGCACAATTATAGCTCTTTATTCGAAGTCCACCGAGAGGAATAGCAAATTGACAAAAGTTAACTTAATTATTATTAATAGCTAGGATATACGAATAATAGCGACACTTGACAAAACGACTGGTAGCAAGTCCTTTCTACTGAATGGTTATTATTACTACTGTGTTTCGCGCCCGAAATCCGGGGTTTATATACTGGTAATTCCTTTGTTACTTGCATGATCTTTTGCTAAAGGAATTCTCGAGTAAGGTGATCTCTTCATCGGACCACGTCGTACTCGGAAGCATCACCGAATTTCTTATCGATTGTTTAGACATAGATATCTTTTCATCGAAACGCGGCGGTGATCAGAGGGTAACGCGTGAATTTCATCGGAGGTGTCGGTTGCCGTCTCCGAAAAGTCGATGTTTGACATATTTATGACTTCCTCTTTGATTACCTCGCGAAAAAGTTATTCGTTCTTAATTTTAATACTAATGTCTAACGCAATGTATTGAGATTATAGAATCGTTATATGTATAACTTCCCTTATATTTTAGAAAAGATTTAGAAATATAACTCGATTTAGATAAAATAATCAAATTTAAATTACAGCATATAAAGGAAATTATTTACACTGTTTGTGAATTAATAATGAGTTTAAATAAAGCGTTTTAAAGAGTTAAAATGGTTTGGTAGTTATTAAAAATAATCCAATTTTAAAATCCAAGTTTAAAATTAATCCAATAATTTCTTTGAAATACCTTATTTACGTGATTATCTATTTTGGTCGCATTTATTTAAATCTAATTTTTAAATTTAATATGTATAAAAAGTCCTTATTATGTATTGATTAAGGGGTACATAGTTAATTAGCAGGTTAAATAACCGTGTATAATAGGAACGGTAAGCAAGTGTTGAATGTTATAATTCATATATTAAAATTAAAATCTATAGTAATAATGAATAAATTCGGATTATAATTAATGAAATTGAATATTCGTTCTTACTCCGTGATTATAATAAAGAAGCAAGATGGATAAGCGAATAGTAACTAAATCTAGTAATTTTTAAAATGGCGAGACGTCACACCATCACTGCTTTCCAGCCGCAGTAGCTGCAGCAGGAAGTGACGACAAAATCAATGACGTCATTGTTCTCTCACAGCACTGCCGTATAGAGACCTATAATCAGAGATGCGCCATTGGCGAACAGTTTTTGATTGGTCACTGTAAATCACGTGGTTTTTCCGCCATCTTGTACCCCATGACGTCATTAATGACGTTACTGATGACGTTTATTGACATCATGCTAACTGTTGCTCATGTTAAATCTGAGGTAAGATCTTATTTTTTATATAATATATATAATGTATATAATATATATAATTTATAATATATAATATTATAAATTATAATATTATATATATTATGTAATATCTCTAATAAATAATTAACGTACAGTTAAATTTGTATCTGTGTCTTATTTTATCTCAATATAATGTGTAATATCGTTAAATAGTTTCAATGTAAGGTTAGTTTGTGTCTCTTCGTGTCATTATGTTTTACTTATATATTATTTAAGTTACATTTTATTTACATTAGAGTCCTATAGGACTGTAAGGCTGCGATCGCCTCGACATTGTAGCCCTGTTTTTTTTATATGTAAATAAAATGGTCCGTATATGCGAAGTAAACGGCTGCAATGTCCGGGAAGGACAGAGAAAGATGCTTTTTAATTTTCCAAAAAATCCTGAAAGGCGTTCTATTTGGGTGTCACAGACTGGACGGAAATTCTGGCTACCCGGAACCTCCAGCTGCATCTGTGAAGTGAGATATTTTTATTACTGCTTGTATTATGTGTTATATCTGCAATGTGTTATAATGCATTGATTAATTTTGTCACAATTGCAGGATCATTTTGATGCATCACAATGGGAAACAGTGCGTGTAGATGGGTCTAGAAAACTCCGACGTTTTGCAATACCTTTGCGTGCAGAAAATAATAAAAACGTTTCAAAATTTGTCACAATGCATGATCATAAGTATACTGTTGACGCAAGTCAGCGTCTTCCCTTTCAAGACCTCACTACACAAATGAACTCATCTCATGACAACAATTATATCTCAATTCAATGTGTGCCATCAAGATCCATTCAAGTTGCAGGAAGTCCAGTAATAACCAGAACGAACAACATTACAATAGAGAATATGCATCAGGATGTAAGCCAAGATCTTTTCTTTACCTCTTATTTTTCTCCTAATCTCTTTAGATCTTTAACGAAAACTAATCATAAATTCTTTTCTGCATTTTTTTTCTAGTCTAGTGATAATCCCGACCCACTATCTATTTTGGCCGATATTTGTGCTGTCTCTGAACCGGTCGATATACTTCCAGCTACTGCAAGTTCAGCATCAATAAAAAAAATTCAAGAATTACAAGATCAGCTGAAAAAACAAAAGGAAGAAATAGAAACCTTGCAACATGTCAACGAGCTTTTAAATATTGTAGCACAAAAAGTAACAGAAAAGTTCCATACTATTAAGTCTACTTATGATAAATGTAGAATTAGACTATGGAGATTAGAACAAAGTAAGATAAAATCTACTCTTACCTTAACATCAAGACTACGTGCTGATCAGATTGCATCTCTGAGAAGGCAATCCAATCGTGGCCTCAAGTGGAGTTCAGAAACTATAAAGGATGCCCTTGTGTTTAAGATGAAATGGGGGACTACGAATTTTTCTGATTTTATAAATTATTTACCTATCTTTCCATCAGTGAGGACTCTGCAAAGAACGATTGAGCACATTAAATTCGAAAGTGGCATTTTAGATGAGGTTTTCGACATGCTGAAGTATGCAGTAGAAGGCATGTCTGAAAATGAAAAAGACTGTATGATTGCTGCAGATGAGATGGCAATTAAAGCTGGATTAGTGTTTGACCCATCAACTAAAAGAATGATAGGGAAATGTACATTTCCTACTCATGTCGGGCCAGCTAACAAGATCCTTGTTATCATGTGTGGAGGAATTTGCATAAGGTGGAAAGTTGTTCACTACTAAGTAAGGGCCTTCCCAATTGTTCTGCAATTTTTGGGCTTTCCCTTTACTTCTTCGAGGGTTAAATAACCAGACTCTCTCTCCCTCCTTAAAAAATACTGCTCTAGCTTTCCGATCATATCTGGCTTTCATTAGAGAGGACTTTAAAACCATACGTTCCCTAACACAAGAACGAATTTCCTCTAATTTTGCTCTTAAATTTTCGATAAAATTTTCCGGGGGTAACCTTTCTTCGTCAAAACTGGGAGTTTCTTGAAACAAATCGACCGGTAGTCTTAGTTCTCGAGCGAAGTACAATTCTGCAGGGGTCACTCTTGTGGTTTCATGTTTCGAAGATCTATAAGCCAAAAGAAACATAGGGACCCACTCGTCCCAATCTTTTTGATTCTCGGAGATGTACTTCGCCAAGTAATTAATAATTGTCTGATGTTGGCGTTCCACCTGGCCGTCTGACTGAGGGTGAAGAGCTGTAGTCCTCGTCTTTTTGATCCCAAGGAGTTGTGTCAACTCCTTAAATAATCGAGATTCAAAGTTCTTCCCTTGGTCTGTGTGAACCTCCAGAGGTACTCCATGTCTCGAGACGAATTGATTTACGAAAATTTCGACCACCGTTTTGGCTCTAATGTTCCTGACAGGGAAGGCTTCTACCCATTTCGTGAAACAATCTACCATAACGAGGAGATATTTATTCCCAGATTTAGTCAACGGAAGGGGACCAAGGATATCCATTTGCACTCTTTCTAACGGGGCTTTGGCGTTGTATATTTGTAAAGGAGACTTTCCCTTTCCAGAGAGACCTTTCTTCGATATACAGATTGGTGCAAGTCTTGCACCATTTTTCAACGTCAAGCTTGCAATTTGCCCAATAGAATCTTTTTCGGATCTTCTCCAAAGTCTTGTTGACTCCAAAATGTCCTCCGGATGGAGAATCGTGAGCCTCCTGTAAAATTTCCCTGATCCGATCTTGAGGAACTACTAATTGGAGGAAACTTGTATGAAGATTTGGGGCCTCCCACTTCTTATAGAGAATTCCATTTTTCAAAACAAGAGAATCCCAATAAGACCAATAAATTTGAGCTGAAATTTTCCCAGCAGGAATTTCCGGATGCAACGGTCTTTCCCCCGCTTCTTTTCCTCGTATTATGAAAGAAATATTTGGGTCAGTCCGCTGTGCTTGACGCCATTCTTCAAGATTTTCTCCCGTTAGCACAATACGAGCGACCATTCCTTCCGCGTTTTTCCTCTCGATTTTAGTGCAGTATTCGCATCCGGAGGCCTCACATAATCGTCTTGATAGTCCATCGGCATTCCCGTGGGATTGTCTCTTTCGATAAATAATCTCGAACTCAAATTCTTGCAGTCTCTCAAGCCATCGAGCCAATTGTCCTTCTAGTTCCTTAAAAGACATCAACCATTTTAACGATCTATGATCTGTACGAATGACAAATTTTCTTCCTAAAAGATAGTGACGGAAAAATTTTAAAGAATCTACAATCGCTAATAACTCTCTTCTAGTCACACAATAATTCCGTTCAGTCTTGCTAAGTACTTTACTAAAATAAGCGATCACTCTCTCTTTTCCCATTTGACTCTGAGATAACACCGCACCGATGCCGATGTTTGACGCGTCTGTATCCAAAATGAATTCCTCCTCCCCCTTAGGAAAAGACAATATTGGAGAAGACGATAACATTGATTTTAATTTTTCAAAAGCATCTTGGCATTCTTTTCCCCAAACGAATTTAACTTGTTTTCCGTTAACACGAAAAGGGGTTTCGCTAAAGAAGAAAATCCTTTCACAAATCTGCGATAGTAAGAACAAAAACCGAGAAAGCTCCGTAACTGTTTTTTAGTATGGGGGATCGGCCATTCCCTCACGGCAATAATCTTTTCGGGATCTGCAGCAATGCCTTTTTCTGAAATAATATGTCCCAGATACTTAATATTCCTTTGAAAGAAAACACATTTCTTAGGATTCATTCTCAAATTAGCCTCTTTTAATCGCGAAAATACCAAATTCAAATTTTCTAACATTTCATCAAAAGTTTTCCCGAAAATGATTATGTCATCCAAATATACTAAACACTTCTTTGATAAAAGACCGTGTAAAACTTTTTCCATTAATCGTTCAAAAGTCGCGGGAGCATTACATAAACCGAACGGCATTACGGTAAATTGCCAAAGACCCCTGCCGATTGAGAAAGCCGTCTTTTCCTTGTCCTCAGAACGGACCTTAAGTTGCCAGTATCCGCTCTTTAAATCCAATGTAGAAAACCATGAGTTACCTGAGAGTTGATCTAAAATATCGTCGATTCTAGGAAGAGGGTATGAATCCTTTACCGTCACATTATTTAGTTTCCGATAATCGACGCAAAATCTTATACCGCCGTCCTTCTTTTTGACCATGACGGCTGGAGAAATCCATGGGCTTTGCGATTCTTCTATGACTCCTTGTTCCTTCATATCCTCAATAATTTTATCTACTTCCTTCCTTAAATAAATAAGAATTCGACGAGGTACCTGTTTAATGGGGGGAGAGTCTTTTATGTTAATAACATGTTCTACAACACTACAATTGCCAGCCACAATTCTTTCGGAAAACACATCAGAGAAATTATTTAAAAAGTTTGCAAAAATTTCTTTTTCCAGTTCCTTCAAATCTAGGGAATCATTTCTAAAAAGATTCTTCAAAATAGTCGGAACTCTATAAGAATTTTCAATTCGAGAACAACCAACAATTCTATTTTCATTCGGGTTTAGTTCATTAAATTCATGATCAAAAATATCTTGCAAATTAATTTTTGTAAGAAAATCTACTCCCAAAATACAATCGTCATTTATGGCGGCAACGAACAGAGGAAATATAATTAAATGCTTCCCAATCTCTATTTTTACCTCTACTTGGAATTCAATCGAAACTTTTTCTCCCGTCGGATACCTTAAATTACAATTCTCGATTTTAGTCCTTTCAGTATACTTATCTACTAAGTTTTTACTTAAAATAGAAACATCGGAGCCCGTGTCTATTTTCAAAGAACAATCTCTTCCGTTTATTCTACCATTATAATAGAAATTACTTTGCCTAACCCTAGCGACACCAAAATCGACGAAACGATTCACCGTCGGGGCTTTTTGGGAGAAAGTTGAGCTCCCCCCGCGTAGCTCAACTAAACCGCGTTTCCCTTTTCCTCCGGGCATTCCGAACGGAAATGCCCTGTCTTCCCACACGTCCAGCATTCTCTATTCTTTGAGGAGTTTCCCCGCCATCTCCCCCTCGAAGAATTTTTCTCATCGTGCCTTTTCCGCGTGTCGATTCCAGGTTATTACTGGACTTCCTGCAACTTGAATGGATCTTGATGGCACACATTGAATTGAGATATAATTGTTGTCATGAGATGAGTTCATTTGTGTAGTGAGGTCTTGAAAGGGAAGACGCTGACTTGCGTCAACAGTATACTTATGATCATGCATTGTGACAAATTTTGAAACGTTTTTATTATTTTCTGCACGCAAAGGTATTGCAAAACGTCGGAGTTTTCTAGACCCATCTACACGCACTGTTTCCCATTGTGATGCATCAAAATGATCCTGCAATTGTGACAAAATTAATCAATGCATTATAACACATTGCAGATATAACACATAATACAAGCAGTAATAAAAATATCTCACTTCACAGATGCAGCTGGAGGTTCCGGGTAGCCAGAATTTCCGTCCAGTCTGTGACACCCAAATAGAACGCCTTTCAGGATTTTTTGGAAAATTAAAAAGCATCTTTCTCTGTCCTTCCCGGACATTGCAGCCGTTTACTTCGCATATACGGACCATTTTATTTACATATAAAAAAACAGGGCTACAATGTCGAGGCGATCGCAGCCTTACAGTCCTATAGGACTCTAATGTAAATAAAATGTAACTTAAATAATATATAAGTAAAACATAATGACACGAAGAGACACAAACTAACCTTACATTGAAACTATTTAACGATATTACACATTATATTGAGATAAAATAAGACACAGATACAAATTTAACTGTACGTTAATTATTTATTAGAGATATTACATAATATATATAATATTATAATTTATAATATTATATATTATAAATTATATATATTATATACATTATATATATTATATAAAAAATAAGATCTTACCTCAGATTTAACATGAGCAACAGTTAGCATGATGTCAATAAACGTCATCAGTAACGTCATTAATGACGTCATGGGGTACAAGATGGCGGAAAAACCACGTGATTTACAGTGACCAATCAAAAACTGTTCGCCAATGGCGCATCTCTGATTATAGGTCTCTACTGCCGTAGCGTGCTGCCATGAATTTTGGAACGCAGTTTGTAGCGCTGGCAGCGCTGGCAGTGAATTTTGGAACACAACCTTGGTATGATGTTCCACCCACAATAAATGTGCGCGCGCCTTGACTTGTTCCACATGTTTTTTTCATACACGGACGTCAGAATTGAGAATTTGGATTGTGAGCCAGTCAGATTTATTGGCACGTGCATATTGATGTATATAGGAGAACTATTCCATTTAGTTAGGCGACAAAATGAGTAAGAAGCGAAACAGACAGCCAGATGCGGATTGCGATGCCAGCGAGGCCTCCACCGAGTCTTGCGAGGAAACGAGCGCAGGTTAAAAATGCGTATACATAAATAGAACTTCGATTTTTATAGATCAGTAATCTAACCTAACTCTAACTTGATTTTATACAACAATATTTCTAAATCCAAGAATTTATCGATTTTACTTCTTTATTCTTCAATTCTACATGACTCCTTGGATTTTTCTATTCTTGCTTTATATTCTATACATCTTTGAATTATTAGATTAGGAATGAATAATTCCAACAGTTCAAAAAGTCCCAATAAATATGTAAATATATATGCATATATATTTATATATATTTTTTCTTCATTATTTATTTCTGCCAATCTCCATGTTTTACATATATATGTGTTTTATATATATATATATATACACATACATACATACATACATACATACAGGATGTCCCAGACCACTCATACACTCCTCTTAAAATGAAAATAAATGGTTTTTATCAAAAATTGCGAACAATTTTTAAGTAAATCGGGTACGTTCTATCAAATGGTGATATTTCCAACTTTTGATTCCGACCAAAAATATGCTATCCGGATCGGAAATTGAATTTTTTTAGGGGAACATGATACTTTTTACTACAGATTTGAATTGTACGTGAAAAAATAAGAAACTTTTGTATCAAACGTTTTTTCTGAAAGTGCTTCTGTCAATTTTAAAATTGACCTTGAAAGTAACTATGAATGTTTGATTCGTTGAACGTTTCTATAAAGTAATATATATATATATATATATATATATATATATAACTTTATATAATATAAAAATTGTAAATAATTTAATGTTGCTAGACGAATATTTCAATGATCCTTTTATATAATATATTTTATATTATTTTTTTCATATATTATAAGTTTATATTGATATTTATGTGTGTGTGTGTGTGTGTGTGTGTGTGTGTGTGTGTGTGTGTGTGTGTGTCTATATATATATATATATATATATATATATATATACACATACATATATATATATATATATATATATATATGTATTGTATATGGATATCTATAATTTAATTGTTAATTTAAAAAAAAATTAATGATAGTTTTAAACATAATTTTAAAATCTAAACAATCAGAATTTTTACACTTAAAAATTTAGCACTTAAAAACATAATAGTTAATATATTAAAATATTTTGATCTCTTTCATCTTTCTCTGAACAAAAAAGAATTTTTTATTCAAATTTACATAGATATTTTAATATTGATTATTAATTTTGTCAACAGGTACAAAATGTTTGCATATAGCTAAAGCTGTCAATCTGAATAAAGTGAAGAAGAATATAAAGAAGATTGGAATAATGAATAAATGTTCCGTTTGTAAGAAATTAGAAGTGGACCTTAAAAAAACAGAAGAAATTGTAAATAACATACCATTTGATTAGTATATACAGAGTGTACCAAAATTTCCGCATGTGGAATGCACATCATGATTGTTCGTACCAAAACTTTTTCCTTTGGAAAAATTGCGTCTGAACATTACTTTTTAAATGAAAGCAACATTAAGCTAATGAATAAGCGCTTTAGATTACTTGTATTAGAGTCGGCGCGCGCGCGGCATATGTGGCATTTGATTGTGTGTACGCTATTTTACTATTTCACTAAAGATTTTACAAGAATTGTGCATGATATCTAAATATCTATTTTCAATACAACGTACTTAATAAGAGTTTTTTTAAATTGATATCATCGAAGCAACGACTGAAAGTAAAATAAGTAGATTAGAATAATTTTGATCAAAAATTATTGCTCCTATATTCTAAATATATTTTAGCTTTGAAAAGGGCCAATTAAATGTTTTAAATGTTTAGCACATGTTTGAAATGTAGACTTTCTATTTGTATATTCGCTCTGCGTATGAGATTTTTTTGTATACGTTGGACGTTTTTTTGTAAGTTGTATTGAAAATAGCGATATTTAAATAATAATTCATGTAAAACTTTAATGAAATGGTAAAATAGCTTATATGCGCAAACGCCACACATGCGCGCGCTGCCCCTGATTCAAGCGTAATCTAAAGCGCTTATTCGTTAGCTTAAAGTTGCTCTCATTTAAAAAGTAATGCTCAGATGCAATTTTCTCAAAGGAAAAAGTTTATTTCGGTACGAACAATCACGCTGTGCATTCCACATGTGGGAATTTTGGTACATCCTGTATAATACATATTATAGTCCTAATTCAAAGTTATTTAAATTTGCAGTATTTCTCAAAGCCATTGTGGATTTGCTTACAATGTGGAGATCAAAATTGTGATAAGGAAAAGCATGCTATAGAGCACTATAAAAAGCCCCACAGTGATTGTCATTGCATAGTGATAGACATTCATCATTGGAATGTTTGGTGTTTCCAATGTGAAATTGAAATTCATCCTAATAGCAGGTAAATATATACATTACAGATGTCAAAAAATCGATTTTTTTCTCAATAGAAAACAAACGTTGAAAAAAATTTTTTTTTCTTTATTGGAAAGAGAATCAATATTCTTTCACAATTTTTTTAAATATATTTTTCTTCATACTTTTTTTTTTTAAATAAAAATTTTGAAATTTTTATATTTTTTATTTATTTTCTTTGAAAGTAATTTTATTTCATTAATGAGACTTTTATGGCAAAGTACATACATTAACATAAATAAACATATTTCGAATAATTTCTAGTTAAATGTACAACAAAAATTTTTATTATGCATTTAATTAAAAATTATTTTTGTTATTTATTATTTGGAATCATATTTGGTATTATTTTAATCTCCGAAATCCCATTAAAATTATTTTAAAAAGAATAAATTGAAAATATAAGAGTTTTAGTTTTTCTTTACATTAAAATAATAACTTATAATTAGTACAGTTTTAATAAGTACATTTTAAAAAATTACGAACTGTTTTTGTATCTATAATGAAAACAATTTAATTTTGATTTATTTTTGAAGAATTTACTTAAGTAAAAGTAATAACTACAGCCAACTGTAGCCAATTGGAATGTGGTCTATATTAAGATAAGATGTCTATATAATTCATTCTGTTATTAAAAAAATCAAAAGTAATAAAATCAACTTGCAAAATAATCAAAATATAATATTGTTATTAAATATTAGAAGAAGAAAAAAATGTGCAAAACGAGGTTTTTTCATCAAAAAGCATATTTTATGAAAAATAATATTTTTTTCTATTTACATTTGTACACAGACACATATCACATGATATGCACATACATGGGTAAGATATATGTAGAGTGACAGGAATAATTAATTAATGAAATTTTCAATTTTTTTTGTGATACAAATATAAAAGAAAATAATAATACATAATAATATTTAATATCTGCAATTATACTTTTTTTAAAAACAAAATTATCTTTTTATATAATAAATTGATTGTTTTTTTGTTATTTTGTATATAAAATGTATTAAAGTAAGATGATCAAAAAGTATAATTTACATCCAATTTATATCATTTTGTTAGATATGCTTGATATTGCTATTGATATAAAGTATGAATTGATATAAATATTCATCTAAAGTATATGATTTAGATAATAATAATTAATTTTAAATTTAAATAAAACTTGAGAAAAAAGCTTTTCAAAATAGCCGTTATCCTAAGGATATGTTTTACTTACTATACAGGAATTACTGAGCAATTATTTAATTTATTTCAATATAAATTATAATTTTCATAATAAAATAAAATTACGTTTTATAAATTTTGAAAAAAGTTAGTAAAGTTCGACTTTTAAAAATGCTAATAATAAATTTACAAATATTATTTTGTTTTGAAATTTGCAGAATTAAAAATTACAGCATTTCCAAATATTATTTATAACTAAAAATTACGGAAATATTGATGAAAAAGCTATTAATGAAATTATTGGCCAATCTTCTAAAATTCAATTAAAAACTAAAAATGTGTATAAAGATTTTCTAATTATAATTTTTTTTATTTTAAATATTTATGATATTTGAATATTTGTTGATTTTTTATTTCCTGATTTACACTGAAATTTTCTTTCATATACTAATTCTTTGATAAGTAACAAAAATCTTTGAAACTTATGAAAAATTAATACATGCATGTGTTTTTGTGTATGTGACATAAGAATTTCTTAATATAAAAAAAATATTTATTTTTGCACCTTTGTAAATATGCATTGTCTTTTTTTATACAGTAAAAAGTTGTTAGAAACTATTGAATTCATCAAGAAATGTGCTACTATGCAAATACCACAACCGAAAACACCAGTAACACAATGTCAAAATCAAACAGAGATCATAACTGATGTGCAGGAGAAAGAGAAGCATAAAATATTGAATAATCTTCCCAAAGTTGGGGTATGTAAATTATATGATTTATTTTTCATTTGATTTGATTCTAGCCCAGGTAGCAAGCACACGTCATTTTGACGTTTCAAATTGGTCATTCGCTGACGTCACGAGCTGACCTTTTTATAACGTAAAAGTAACAGTCTAATGTTAGATTCTTAACGTCGTCGTGACATGTATCGCATTTTAATGTCATAAAATGTACCATATTTTGACGTCTTTTTCTTAGCATAATAATATATTTAATAACGTTGTCGAATAAAGTAGCTTAACTGATTCGAGACCATCATTGAACAATTATAGCCATTCTATTCTTTAGAGAATCGATTAAACTGCTTTATTTGAAAATGTTGGAAAACAAATATGGTCCCATGGAAAAAAATAGGTCCCAAGTTTTATATTGTTATTATTTTATTTAAACATAAATAAAACTTACTTCTAATATCATATAAAATTTCAACAAATAATGTCTGCGTTTTATAAAACTATTTTGTCAATCAACTGTATTATAAAAAACTTATAAAAAAATATATTTTTAAAAATATATTATTTATTTAAAAAATATTTATTTAAAAATATATTTCTAAAAATTTATTATAAAAAATATATTTTTTGGCACTTTAATTACACTCGATTGATATAGCTAATATTTTCACTGTGCACTAATTTAATGAACATTTGAGTGGTTAAGCAACATAAGTCAAGCACATATAAACGCATGCGTCGAAAGAAAAATATTGTTAAAGTCTGATCGCGAAAGTCAAATTATATAAAAAATTTAAAAAAAATTTTTTTATGAGATCAATGTATTAACTAATCACAATAATAAAATAATCGTCAGTTCATGACTGAAATATGACGTCAAAATGGTATATCAAGACGTTAATATAAAGTCATATTACAAATGAGTCATTTTGACGACATATGACCAAAAATGACTAGTTTGGAACATCAAAATGACGTGTGCTTGCTATGTGAGAGATTGCTTTTTTTAGAGAGAAGTCTTTTTAAAGGAATTTTTTTAAAATTTAAACATAATGTAATAATATAAAATGTGTGTACAGTATATTTAACATTTAACAATAAACAAAATTGAATTATTTCACATTTATATATAACATATAATGATATATAAATAACGAGAAGAGAGAGGTAGTGTACAATCATACTCAAAATATTAATAATAGAAAAATGTTCTTAAATAATGTAACAGGGTTTAGCAAATTTAGGAAATACCTGCTTCTTCAATGCTGTACTTCAGTGCCTATCACAGACTCCTTATTTAATGAAGGTGCTGGACGATCTGCGTTTACCCGGACAAAAATTTATCTTGCCAGGTGGAAAGCACAAACCTTTGGATGCAGAGGAAGAAGTGGAATTTGTATGTTTAGTTTTGAAATTTTTTTTATCTCAAGGAAAAACAATAAAAGAACATCAATATTAATATAGATTTGCTCAATTAAATGTTATATCTTATATTTTTATTGTTATTTATCTTATTTTTTGCGAGTGATCATTCTTTTCACTTGATAGCCACCAATTGAAGGGACCTTAGAGCGATGGGGCAGTTTCACATCGGTTCTTTGTGAAACTCTATCAAAAATGCAGAATACTAACGGCTATCAGACATATACACCTCTGAATTTACTTTGTAAGCTTAGGAAAAAAACTACACAATGTGTTGATGGAGGGCAACACGACTCGCACGAATTACTCCGACATTTGTTGGAAATAGTGCGAAATGAGGATCTTCGAGTAAGCAAGAAACTGTGTTAATTATTTCTTCTAATTAAGTATTTTTTTAATAATGTCATTAGAATTGATTTTTACTTTCTAAAATATTTTAGATGTTTAAAGCAATTATGATAGCTAATTTAACAAATATATCTAATCTGCTATGTACTGAAATAGTTAAGGAATCTTTTTTTTCTTTAAAAAATAAAAATGCCTATAATTTTGTTACAAATTGGATTGGATTGATAATGAGAACAGTAATAAAAAATTGTAAAATTTGAAATTTCTATTTTCAGAATTTTTAGTCAATTATTTTTATTTTTCACAGAATTATATAATAGAAAAATGACATCCAGCAACTTGACAAATGTTTTTGAAGTTAATGAATAGCAAACATGAAAACAATGGTATAATTTTGTTAAATATATTTTAAAGAGACCTTTTAATTTGTTCTTTTAATGATTGTTGAAATTTATTTATTAATTACAAGCGTTTAAAGTCAATTTAAAATCAATTTGACAAGGAATAACTCAATGAAAAAGTATAACAACCGTATAACAAAAAACAAAGCAAAAAATCTACTTTTTAAAACTCTTAAAATTACACCATATTTATTTATTTATTTTATCTTATTTATTATTATGGCATCTATTAACTAACTGAAAAGATTTGGCAAATTGGATGTTGTTTCAAGTTGGATATTTTTCTATTGTATAATATTGTCAATTGAAATTGATTTAAAGGTTTTGAAAATGAAAATTTCAAACTTTACAATTTTTTTTTATTATTGATTTCAAACCAATTTGCAAAGTTACAGCCATTTTAGAAATTATCTTTTTTTTTTCTTTTTTTTTTTTCTTTTTTTGAGAAAAAAGAAGTGATCTTTTAATTTTTTGAGATAATACAGAAATAAAAATAAGCAAAGGTCTTATATTGTAAGTTAAAATTTTATGTATACTGTAGAGATACCAGAGCATAATTCTAAAAGAGGTAGGCTTGAGTGAAAAAACGAAACCAGACGGTGTAGAGAAGAGTCTGAAATCACGCGTGAAATTCTACGGCAACCAAGCAAGCACGCGATTACTGGGACCAGAAACGGTATTTCGTGGTGTGTTGGTATCTACCTTACAGTGTCTGGATTGTCATCATTCGTCGCAACGCACTGAGCCATTCCTAGATCTGAGTCTCCCTGTTACAGCAGACAAATCACAGCCTCCGCTCTTGAAGTAAAGAACAAGTTTCTTATCTCTGTATAATTAATTTTTTTAACTTAGCTTATAAATAGTATATTAGTATATATTTTGATATATAGAAGGAAGAACAATGAAAACGACACCTTTTTCGATGTGACGAACAATCAGCAACGCGATTATCAAACTCTTGACACATCTTGGAAGCAATTGAAAAAAGAAAAGAAGGCAGCCAGGAAAAACCGAAAGATTAAAAGGCATGAGAATCATAACAATTATGTGCTAAAAGATTTGAATAATTTCACGGAAGAAAATAATGACAACACACCAAAGTCAGGTATGATTTTATTTAGCTCTAATTAGCAATATTTTTTACTTGCTTCTCATACGATAGACCAATACTAGGATTTAATTTTTGAATCGCTTTTCGTGGTTGGCACTTAGTCTCCGCTTATTGCAATTAAATTCTTCCAATTCTGCTATTTATAAAAAGTTAACTATTTATAAAATTACATTTACAAATTTAAACTATTTAAAAAATTGACTTTCTTTTTGTGTAAAAATAAAATAAAATGTTTTGGAAAGAATATTAATCCTTTAATTTTTAAAATTAATTTTTTTCATAAACAAAATTTTGTACGAGAAAAATGTTATTTCCTAGAGGAGAGTGATGCTGATGTAGAGGACAATATTGAAGTAGATCATTCTCATCCAGAAATTGGAGAATCTGGATATAGTTCGGAAAAAGCGTCCGCCGTCACCAGTCCTATATCTCTTATTGATCCCCATCATCATCCAAGCAACGACTTCAGTAACGATATCAACAATCTGACAAGTCTGGAAGACGGTAATCTGGGTAACAATGCGGACATAACACAAATTAGACACCTGGTGAACATTAACGTGTTAACTAGTCCTAGTCCAACCGATGTATCGATGACAGACTTGACTCAAATCAGAATGCCGTCAGAAAAAAGCGATAGGAATGTCAGCTCAGTCAATTCGGAGAACGAAGCATCAGCTACGACATTATCTACCTCCATGGTTCCTAATTCTGATGTCACAAGCCCTGAGGCACCCACTGCGAGTTTAAGCAGCTCCATCGCTTCTAAGGAAAGCCCTACTAGTCCCGTTAATGATACAGAAAGGTTGTACATGCAGATATTTAAATATTTTTTAAGAAATTTTAAATACGCACGCGCGCGCGCGTGTGTGTCTGCATGTGTATGTATGTGTGTGCAGGATGTTTCAAATCACCGTTCGCCTCTTTTATTTTGAAAAGGAATGGTGTAAATAGTAGGAAAAAAAAATGTTTACCATAAAAACTCATTTGAAGCGGTACTTTCACTTTTGAGAAATTTTGAGAAATAACCGGAAGTAAATTAAAAGTTTTAAATGACAATATGGAACAACATGGATATTGTTTGATAGAGCTTTTAAAAAGAAACAACTTTTGCTTGCAAAAAAATTGATATCGCTTACTATTATCGAGAAATGAAAAAAGTACTCAATCTCTTGTCTTAAAAAATCGAGACTCATTATTAATGGTATATTCGCCAATTGCCAATATCATCAAGATTATTTAACTACTGAGCATCTTGAAAAGTTCGAGCATCACAACAATTGCAAGCATTTTTTAAAGAATTATTCACGATAACGATAAAATGTTATCAAGTTCTTTTTTCAAGTAAAAGTTTTTTTAAAGCTCTACCTAACGATTTATGTAATCATATTGCCCTATGTCACCATTTAAAATTTTTAAATTTGCCCCTATTTCCAATACTTTCGAAAACTTTCATTTTTCAAAAATGAAAATATCATCATTAAAAACTTTACATAGACTTTTATGAAAGGTATGTTTCCCTCAACTTCTTAGCATTACTCTTTTCTAAGATAAAAAAATGGTACAAAATATTCTGTGTAATTTAAATTCTGAAAATTTATTATGTATGTGCAAAATTTACACATTTTTTTAAATTTTAACTTGAATTATTATTAAATTGACACATTAAATACGATTTTTTTGAATATTTATATTTTTAAAATTTCATGTTATGGAAATTTGATAAAATTTGGGATTCTAATGCAGTATATATTTAAAAATGTCGAGATTTCTAGAATAATGAACTGCATAAACATAATATTGATAAGCATGATATTTCTTCAGATTAGACGGTGTCGAGACATGGATGGCAACTACCTTATCAAAATGCAATAGAAATAAATATAATGACGGAACTCCTAATGATGATGATGCCGAAGAACAAGATTTATGTAATGAACTCGGCGATATTATGATGGGAATGTCTAAATTGGGAATTTCGGAACATCAGTCTGGGAGATACAAAACTAAAGAAGGCGAATGTTCTGTGGAATCATGTTTGAACCAATTTACTGCACTGGAACTAATGACAGGAAGTAACAAAGTCGTGTGCGAAGCGTGCACAGCTCGCGAGAAAAAGGTAACTTAAAGAAATAAAAAGAAGAGGAAAAAAATAATTCTTTTTCTTCAAAGATTAAAAAAAAAATTAAAATAAAAAATCAAACTTTGTTCGTTTATAGGCAAGAGTCAGTAATCTAATTTTTTTCTCACTTTTTTCTCTCTCCTCTTTCTTTTTTTTTTGTAGAGTCAGGAGAGTTCATCGAAAATGGTATGCACTTCAAGTACCAAACAATATCTCATTTCTCAAGTACCTCCAGTATTAATATTGCATTTGAAAAGGTTTCAAACGCAAAGAGTTGGTTTTCGAAAAGTTCTCAAGCATGTGTCATTTCCGATGTTATTGAACTTGGCACCAGTTTGTACGGATTATAAAAAACGTCGACTTTATGCGCTTTATGGGGTCGTCGAACATAGTGGAACCGTTCATGGTGGTCATTATGTTGCTTATGTAAAGGTAAATTATTTCTGACTTATAAAATTAGAACTTCAAAAAGAAAAATGTTTTTAGATCTTAATTATATTAAATAAGATATATAGTATTTAAAATATAATAATTAATAGTAAAATTATATATAATATTGAATTATAATCTAACAAATACTATAGCATATTTTATAATCATGCATAAAAAGGGCTCCATCTCATACAAATGTTATTGTCATATATTATCAAGGCCATTAACATTCTGAAGGTTTTAGCCGACGTTCTTTATTCAAAAATTATTAATAAATAAAGTGGGAATTATTAGTTAAAGAGATGAAAAGTTTCTGCACAGAATCTTCTTGAAACTTATGTTAAAAGATAGGTTAATAAGAGGAATCGAAGTGTCATTCCCATTTCTTAATTCCTATTTCAAACAAAGGGTTATAGGTAAAAAACTAAAATCACTCGAAACGCGTATTTTTACATCGATAAGTAGAAGATTAGGAACTGTTGCTCTATAACTATAGAAAATATGACAAACTCAAATTCTCTACATTTGTGAACATTTATCCACTCTATCTAGAAAAGATAGGGATGTATGTGGGAGGAGGTCAGACTATATGCCTATTCGGTGAGTGAAAACTCTCTCCACAGGATATGCGTTGATGCCGTTGCCACGGATGGATTTTGTCGCTCATTGTCAAATGGGCGTGTAGACACGTCTGACCTCCTCTCACATATATCCCTATCTTTTCTGGAAAACACTTTTTAGCCCAAAGAATCATTGTTAGAAAACAATATTCGCGGACTAGAAAAATATGTGGGGTGCAAGTGGCTGGATCGAGAATCGAACCCGAATCTTTCGCTTTCCGGGCAACTGCTCTAGACGGAGGGTACCCGATTGAGCACGTCGCCAATTGGCCAATTCAAAGTAGGACTCTCTGATTAGTTAATCGTTGCTGGTTAGCCTAGGCACAGATCGATATAATTGGCTGTGGTCAATCGCAACGTGTTCAAACGGGATACTCCCGCTCTAGATCACTGAGCTATCCAGATCTCACACCTAATGCCTGCTTTTTAACACAGTGATGTGCAACTCCAGAGCGATGTTGAATATCTTGCAAAGTTCTACATCTAATTTTAACCCTCATTGAGAATGAACATTGTCTTATCTTGCAAAGTGGGTACAGTGAGTCCCCCCCCCCCTTATCCACCACTTCCAAAAAACCTAATCTAGTCTAACCTAACCCGAGTCCGAGAGGTGGAATGGGCTCTACTTTGCATGCAAAGTATATGCGTGGATATAGTGAAATCCACTTCCATAAAATCTTCAGAATGTTAATCAGAGACATGACCTTAACAACATATGTCAATGAAATATTTATAAGGAACATTCTTATGCCTAATTATCGAATCTATATGAATAATTCGACTGGGTTGACGAAAATTACATGGTGTACTTCTCAAACTTTATTTATTATAATTTTTGAATAAACAATGACCGCCTGCTAAAATCTTCAAATGTTAATCAGAGACATGACCTTAACAACATATGTTAATGACACGTTTGTGCAAAACTGAGCCTTTTTTATACATGCATAATTATCCATTTTATATATTATATTTTTTGTTAACAAGTGGATATATAATTTTGATAAACATGCGACTTTGCTAACAAACAAATAATCGATTTTTTTATTCTATTTAATTAGAAGTAATATATTGCAAAAAAAGCATGCTAAAATTTTACAATTACAAAAAAAGTTTTTGTGTATGTGGGGTGAAGAAATTTTTCTTAGAATTAAAACATATTAATGACGAAATTTTCTGAAATGCATCTAAAAATGTTGAAAATATAGAATTCTAACTGTGTATAATTTAATTAAAAAGCTGTTAATAATTTCAAAATTATTTAAGTTGTTTTTGTGAATAGACAAGGCTGCCATTATCATCGGATGACCACCGATGGAGTTTTCTTCCTAAGGATAAGGATCCTAAATTGGATAATGTTAAATCGAGTAATACCAGTTCAGATTCGGAAGGAGAGGAAGCATCGGCGAAAGCCGCATCTGTTGTAGAACCACCACCTGGAAGATGGTATTATGTATCAGATTCTCGGTAAGATTCTTGTTGTTGAAAAAAATACTAAGTTTTGCATTTGTAACATACATCAAATCTGAGCTATAATATGAGTATGTAGTTTAAAAAAATACTGATAGAGATTTTTGAAAAAAATACACTCAAAAATTACATTCTAAAAATTCAGAATTTAGGAATTAAAATAGGGATAAACTTCCGAAAACCGATTACCTCCGATTTGAATGAAATTTTGTAAAAAGCTTCCTTTTAGCTTAAAATACAAGCCTGTAAAAGGAATTTTGGCGACTCCTACAAAAAAGTCATTTTTTTTTAAAGAAAATGAAAAATATTGGGACCTTGAATAAGTTCTCGCTGTTTTTTCGTGAAAATTAATGCTTTATTTTAAAAAAGTCGTAAAAAACATGTCACTAAAAATATTGTCCATCGCTAGCCACTACTTTTTTCCATCTTTCTGGCAGCATTTGAATTCCACATCGGAAAAACGACATGTCTTTTGAGGCTATCCAAGAGTCGACCCATTTTTTGGCATCTTCATAAGAATGTAAGTGCTGGTCAGCCAGGCCATGTGCCATCGATCGGAACAAGTGATAATCAGAAGGGGCAATGTCTGGTGAATACGGCGGGTGGGGTAGGACTTCCCATTTAAGCGTTTCCAAGTAGGTTTTCACCGGTTTTGCAACATGTGGCCGAGTGTTGTTATGTTGCAAAATCACTTTGTCGTGTCTCTGCTCGTATATCGGCCGTTTTTCCTTCAATGCTTGGCTCAAACGCATCAATTGTAATCGATAGCGATCTCCTGTGATGGTTTCGTTCGGTTTGAGCAGCTCATAATAAATTACACCCAGCTGATCCCACCAAATGCAGAGCAGAAGCTTCGAACCATGGATATTCGGCTTTGCCGACGATGTTGATGCATGGCCGGACTTACCCCATGATTTTCTACGCTTAGGATTATCGTAGTGTATCCATTTTTCATCGCCAGTCACGATACGATGCAAAAAACCTTTCCTTTTCTGCCGTTGAAGCAGCTGTTCACACGTGAAAAGACGCCGTTCGACGTCTCTCGGCTTCAACTCGTATGGCACCCAATGTCCTTGCTTTTGAATCACTCCTAATACTTTCAAACGTTTCGAAACTGTTGTGTGATCAACTCCTAATGATTCTGCAAGTTCATCTAGCGTCTGACATGAGTCTTCATGAAGTAATGCCTCCAATTCTTTGTCTTCAAACTTTTTCGGTGCGCCAGAGCGTTCTTTATCTTCAATATCAAAATCATTATTTTTGAAGCGTCTAAACCAATCTCTGCATGTTGTTTCCGACAGAGCATGGTCGCCGTAAGTCTCAACAAGAATTCTGTGTGCTTCAGCTGCAGATTTTTTTTGAATAAAGTAGTGCAGTAAAATTCTCCGCAAATACTCTTTTTTTGGCACGAAACTCGACATGTTAACACTATGAAAAAAAAAAGTTGTTTACACTTCGGCGCAATGACATACACTGAATTTCAAGCTTGCTTATAGTACTTCCCTATAGATGCGTTACCATCTTAAATTACACGCACGCAGTTCTGGTAACACCATCTGTTGGAAAACAGCGAGAACTTATTCAAGGTCCCAATATAATAATAAGAGAAATATATATACAGGATGTCCCAAAAGTCCCGGACCGGTCGAATATTTTATAAACTATGCATTTTAGAAAGAAATGTTTCAGACAAAAGTTGTTAGGCTTGAAGGGGGCCATCAGATAGTGGCAATGATTTGACATGGGAGAGTCATTTAACACGTGCAGATCACCGTCAATTTCTTAAATGGAACTCCCTATTTTTTATTAAATATTCTGGTAGCTCACGTCGGGAGCTTTCTAAAACACTATAATTAAGTTAGTTTTCATTAAGTACTTTCCGAATTATTCCGAGGTTTGAAATCATTTCTTAATTTTACATAAACCGTAAAATATCTTGTAAAATATTCATTTTTCGATTATCTTATCTTAATACTTTTATGTACAAAATAATGAGAGGAATCAATTGGTGTAAAGAAAAAACATAGTTGTTTTTAAGAAAAAATATGGAATTGTTAATTGCAAATTACATATTTTTTCTTAGAAACAACTATGTGTTTTCTTTACACCAATTGATTCCTCTCATTATTTTGTACATCAAAGTATTAAGGTAAGATAATCGAAAAATGAATATTTTACTAAACTAGAACAACACAGGCGCGCGCTTCGCGCGCGCTATTGAGCTATTACAAAAAATGAAATAAATAAAATATTCAAATATTTAAATATTCAAGATATATAATATATATTCCAATATATACTTAATGTTATAATTCAATTTAATTATATTAAATAACTTTAATAATATTATATAATATTAATAAAATTGAACAACTATATATATATATATATATATATATATATATATATATATATATATATATATTAGGTGTACAACTTTGCTTCCGCCGTTTTTTTTCCGAAATTCGAGGCTTTATTGTAAAAAACTAGTTATACATTTATGATTCAAAGTATTGTCCATCGCTGGCCACTACTTTCTCCCATCTTTCGGGCAGCGTATGAATCCTGCGTCGAAAAAACTGATCATATTTTGAGGCGATCCACGAATCGATCCAATTTTTTACTTCTTCATAAGACTGGAAGTGCTGGTCAGCCAGGCCGTGTGCCATTGATCGAAACAAGTGATAGTCAGAGGGAGCAACGTCTGGACAATACAGCGGGTGAGGTAGGACTTCCCATTTCAACGTTTTCAAGTATGTCTTGACCACTTTCGTAACATGGGGTCGAGCATTGTCATGCTGCAAAATCACTTTATCGTGTCTCTCGTTGTATTGCGACCGTTTGTCTTTCAATGCTCGGCTCAAACGCATCAATTGCGTTCGATACCGATCGCCTATGATTGTTTCAGTCGGTTTTAACAGCTTAATACAATCTTCTTTCTTCCACCGCTATGCCGGTCTTCGACGTCAAAATCACTGTTCTTGAAGTATTGAAACCACTCACGACACGTTCTTTCACTAATAGAAGCCTCACCATAAGTATCTGAGAGCATTCGATGAGCCTCAGCTGCAGATTTCTTCATATTGAAGCAGAAAATTAAAACCTCCCGCAAATGACGAGAATTTGGCTCGTACACAGACATTTTCAATTGAGAATAACTTTATGATGGAGACACAAATCGACTAATGTTTCTATGGGGTTATGTTGACAGATGTCCAAGTATATTGTATGACATCTATGATCTATTTATTTCGACCACCACCTACCGCTAAAGCGATCTACAAAAAAACGGCGGAAGCAAAGTTGTACACCTAATATATATATATATATATATATATATATATATATATATATATATATATATATAATTTTTTCTCATCGTCCTTCCTTTCCCTACTTTTTTAATAATTTAGCTTTCATTCTTTCCCTCTTAATTTTCCTCCTTATTATTTTATTCTTTCTCTCTCTTTCTCACAATCTTTCTCTCTCTTATTTCTCCCTTTTCCTTCCTTTCTATCTCTTTTCCTCTCTTTCTTCCTCTCTTTCTCCCTCCCTCCCTCTCCCTCTCCTCCCCCCCTCTCTCATTATTTCATTTTTTCTAAACTAATTTTATAAATGTTATTTTCACAAATTAAAAAAAACAAATATATAATATTACTGTGTAAAATATTTAATAGTTTTTTAATAGTTTACAAATTTAAAATATGCAAATTTAAATACTTTTTTTTTAAATTGACTTGTGACAGTTTAAAATAAAATTTGCATAGTGATGATTATCTGTTTTATATAAATTATCCATATACAATAAAAAAATTTTTTAAAAAATAGTCAATTTTTGAATTTTTTAAATTAAAAAAATTTTAATTTTAAATTATTATTAATATACAGGGTGTCCCATTATAAAACATCCAGTCGAATATCTCGAAAACCAAACCCAGGAGAGAAAAATGTTTCAGACAAAAGTTGTTTGGTTTCGAGGGGGCCATAAGATGGTACCATTGGTTTGACCTTGAAGAGTCATTTGAAGATCACGTGAAGATCACCTCAATTTTTTTAAATGGCACCCCCTATTTTTTATTACATATTCTTGTAGCTGACCTTGAGCGCTTTTCAAAACACTATAATAAAATATTTTTTCGTTGAGTATTTTTCGAGTTATGAGGCTTGAATAATTTCTTAATTCTACATAAATCATAAAATATCTAGTGAAATATTCATTTTTCGATTATTTTACCTTAATACTTTTATGCACAAAATAATGTGAGAAATCGATTGGTGTAAAGAAAACACATAGTTATTTTTAAGAAAAAATATGTAATTTGCAATTAACAATTACATATTTTTTCTTTGAAACAACTATGTGTTTTTTTTACACCAATTGATTTCTCTCATTATTTTGTACATAAAAGTATTAAGGCAAGATAATCGAAAAATGAATATTTTACTAGATATATTATGGTTTATATAAAATTAAGAAATGATTTCCAGCCTCATAACTCGAAAAGTACTCTATGAAAAAATATTTTATTATAGCGTTTTGGAAAGCTTTCGAGGTCAGCTACAAGAATATGTAATAAAAAATAGGAGGTGCCATTTGAAAAGATTGAGGTGACCTTCACGTGACGTTCAAATGACTCTTCAAGGTTAAACCAATGGTACCATCTTATGGTCCCCTCGAAACCAAACAACTTTTGTCTGAAACATTTTTCTCTCCTGGGTTTGGTTTTCGAGATATTCGACTGGATGTTTTATAATGGGACATCCTGTATATAAATTTTAAATTTTTTTAAATTTAAATTTTTTTTAATTATTATTAATATATATAAATTTAAAATTTTTTTAAATTAAAATTTTTTTTAATTATCATCATGTTATCATCATTATCATTATTATTTATAAAATTATAAATTGAATTATTTATTAATTTTATTATAATAATTTTTTTATTATTTATTAATTACAAAATATAAATAATGAACAAGTAATTTAATAAGTAA